AGAGCGATGCAATCGAACCCTTTAATACATGATAGGGTCTACTTTGCGTACAAAAGGTATGGTGGGTAGATGGACAGAAATTAGAAAGCGCATCACATATTCATACAATAATCTTAGGCATTATACTACTGCACAGATACCGACAAATCTGGTTTTTGGTAGACCGATTCATGAGATTATAAACCTGGAGAGGGCCAACGAATTGTATTATTTTTCAGAAAATGAAATAGAAATTTTAGACCATGGTAATACAGCAGAAACCGAACTACTGCCAATTTTAGATAAAGAAATGAATTTACCTTATATTTATCGGGACATATTATCTCTTGGTGAACAAAACGAAAGTAATATGAATAATATGAGGCCTATCGCTCGTGAATCTATTCACAGAGCTGCAGAAAGAATGATAAGAAACGTTGAGTGGCGATATGATCGTTTTGATTTTGAAATTGGAGATCGTGTAATGATAAGACCAAGTCTTGATACCAATTAATCTACAAGACGTAAACCTTTATATGAACATCTTAATGCTCGATTTTACATAATAGTGAATATAATTCGGGCCGGAAAAAGACACAATTAAACTGCACGATTTTTGATATACTTAAAAAAATTTTTTTACCCTTATTTTGCACTTTTATTTTGTAAAAATAATGATATAAATTTTTATTTTTATAAAAAGTAACTTTTGCGAAATAAATAATACCAAATTTTAAAATTGTTTTGTTTTAAATTCTAAATTAAAACTTGTATTATACATTATATAATTTTTTATTCGTATTTGTAAAAAAGAGAAATATATAGTAAATCCTTTAACATTGTTGTTAGTTGATTTCTCCAAAGCATATATTTAAGGAGATATATTCCTACTAATAAAGATGTTCTATCTCTGTATGGGCATATTTCTTTTTAACCCCGACCAGTTTCCTTTTATAGTATTTGTATGTACACTACCAGTTTTATTTAAAAATTCGGACCTGGTCTAATATTTGCCCTAAAAAACACCTGGTCTAATATCGGCCCCAGAATACAGAAAAGAGTGTAATGATAATAGAAAAAAAATTAAAGAAAACCGAATTTTTGTATGACAAAATTTTTTTATTATTATACAGCAATAAGAAACATAAAACTTGACAATATATTTGATTTGAATTCGTCTTTAAACATTAATTCTGAGA